CTAGATCCAGAGGGCGTGGAGGAAGGTAGAATCTCCACTGAGTAGTATCCAATCTGTCTAGGCAGGGCTGATGAAATGAAATGCGGATAGGTCTCTTGTGATACAATAGTGCATAATTGTTATCAGGACTGATTGTGAGAGCTGGAAATGTAGAGGTGGACAGTTTATAGCAAGGAGGGGAGTGATTGACTTTTCAGTCTAGGAGTGGAGGTCCCTGGAACCATCAAAGGAGAAAAGCGGAGAGTGGGACCCTACCCAGAGAAGCAGTGATGCCTGAGATGGAGGCAGAGATGATGACATGGAGAGATGGAGCGGCTGGGGACTTTAGACACAGAGAAGGAGAGGGGCTGTGTGCTGACAACTGGGGGGCAGACTTACAGGGCATACCCTTTGGTTGGTTGATGATGCATGGAGGGGACTGTAACCATGACAATGAAACAATATACGATAGGATGAATATAAAACTAATGTTCTCCCATGTAAACTATCACATAATTCACAATAAAAGGTTTTTTTAAAAAAGGAGGCTTTTCAGAAACAGGAACAGACGATGCCCAGACCATCAAGAAAGAAGAGCGCTGGAAAGCAATGCCAGCAGAGGGGGTGGCGGCATGGGAAGAGAGTAGCTGTGGGCTCAGAGGCCATGGACAGAGTACAGCTGAGTGCCCGTGGGCATTTCCAGATTGGCTAAAGGAGCTTCTAAGAACTGCTCAAGCAGGGCACAAACTGAGAGGCTGAAGACAAGAGGCAGGCGCGCCCGCAGTATGACAGAGAAAAGGTAGTCCCGAGCTGCTATGCCGAGTGGTTTGGGATCCGGAATCGTCCCCTGTTCACTTCCCAAACAAACCCCATGATGTGAGTACTGTCGACAAGTTCTGGGGGGTCATTGCCAATGGCTTATCGACCCCAGATGTGAAGCAGAGTGGCTGGTGTCAGACTGGGATAAGGAAGGCAGTAGGGCAGAGGCCTGTCTGACCGCCACTTCGTAAGGATTTTGAGTATGATTCTTCTTCTCCCTTATGAAGCCAGGGGAAGATTTACAAAGATTGGAAAATCCAATCCCTCAAGTGCATTCCGACTCACAGTGACCCTGTAAGACACAGTACAACTGCTTCACAAGCTTCCCGAGACTACGAGTCTTTATGGGAACAGTGAGCCTCACGGGTCTTCCATGGGGCAGCTGGGAAGTTTAAACTGCTGACTTTGTGGTTAGCGGATGCACCTAGCCCACCTAGCCCAATACACCTAGACACCATGCCTTTAGGGGTTTCTCATTAGGAAGGATAAAGACTAGAGGGAAGGCAGGTTTAGAGGAGACCCCAATTCAGGAAAAACAGTACGACCAGAAGGAATTCCAGTGCCAGGGCACAGAGCTGAGAGGGAGGAGAAGAAAAACAAAACAAAACAAAAAACTGAGATTAAAGAGATTGGCGAACATGCTTGCTGCTCATCAAAAGGTTGGCCCACTCAGAGATGCTTCAGAACAAAGTCCTGGCTATTTGCTTCTGAAGACAGTTACTGAAAACCGGACGGCAGGCACACAGTTCTGCTCTAACATGCGGGGTCATCGGGACCCAGAGTCAACTCAATGACCGCTGGGTCACTGACGCCTAGGATGGAGAGTACAGTGGATCTGTAGGACAACCACTGGGCTATGACCCACAAGGTTGGCGGTTCAAGCCCACCAGTCACTCCATAGGAGAAAGATGAGGTTGTCTGCTACACAGGGTTGCTATGAGTTGGAACCGACTCGATGGCACTTCACAACAAGGGCGGGGTGCAGAAGCCCTGGCAGTGCAGGGGGTGAAAGGACCCCATGGAGCAGCTCTGCAGGAGAAAGACCTGGTGATAATCTCAACTCTGTCACGGGCGGCGGGGGGTCATCACTGTATGCGGACTCCATGGCAACTCTTTGGAGCTTGTTCATTTGTTTGAGGGGCAGCTAAGTGAGGAAACAGAGGCTGGGGAAAGTTCAAGGAAAGAAGGACCTGTGAGGAAATATGGCAACTAACAAGGAGGTCTGGGAAAAGAAGGTTCTGGAACGGTCTGCAAGGACAGGGAAGGACACTTAAGAGGGCGATATTTGCAAACCAGAAAGGCAGAAATAAAGGCAGGACTGCCTTTTGACTGGACAAATTTGGCCACCCTTTCCTGGGCGGGTTGGGGGAGTCTGACCAGCCACAGCAGGACAGCATGTCAGCCTGGGGGACATCTGAAGGGGGTCACCCAAGGGCTGAGAAAAGTGGGGTGTGCTGGGAAAGGCTGGCCATTGGGTGAGAAAGGGGGTGTGGTGGGGGTAGGATTCTGGGATCTCTTAGCTTAGGGTTCCTTTGAGAAACCTGTAAGAACACTAGCCAGGGGCTGTCTGACCTGGTAGCCCTAGCTACACATGGGGATCCCCGGGGGTGGGTGGTGGTAAGCACATTCAACTGCTGACCTCAGAGTTGGAGGTACCGCCAAAATAAAGACCTGATGGTCTGCTTCTGAAAAACCTGTCAATGAAAATGTGAGGGCTCACAACAGAACACAGCTAACAAGCTTGTCTTTGCCGCATCTGTCAAGTGGGAACACAGTGGCTCTGTAGACTAAGCACGGGGCTGCCAACCAAAAGGTCAGAGGTTTGAGCCCACCAGTTGTTCTGTGCCCAGAAAAAGGCCTTCTGCTCCCGCAAAGATTTACAGCTTCAGAAACCTCATCCAGGGTCACCATGAGTTATAATCCACTCAACGTGCTTAACAACAACATTTGTCATTTATTACCTATCTATTTAGGAGTCCCTGGCGCTGTGGGTTAAGCACTGGACTGCTCATCACAGGTCTGCAGTTTGGACCCACCAGTTGTTCCTCAGGAAAAGGTTTTTAGTCTCCCTCAGTAACCCTGTGGAGCGGCTCTCCTCTCCTACATGGTCACCATGACCTGGAATCAACTCAAGGGCAGTGGGTTTGGTTTTGGAAGGTGGCACAGTGGGTTTGAGTGTTTGATAACGAAACGCAAGGTTGGTGGCTCGAGTCCCCCAGGAGATGCATCAAAACAAAGGCCTGGCACCCAGCCACTGCCAGCCCACTGGAGCACAGTCCTACTCCGACACAATGGTCAAGGTCCGCTCCAAGGCAAGTGGTAAGCCACTACCGATTGGGCTGCTAACCGCAAGGTCAGCTGTTCAAACCCAACAGTCGCTCCAAGGGCGAAAGCTATATGACTTTCTGCGCCCATAGAGACTGACAATCTCCGAAACCCTATACAGAGTAGCTGTGAGTTAAAATTAGTTGTTGTTGTTGTTGTTTGTGGGGGGTGGGAGGGCTGGAGCACCGGGGTCGGGCAGGCAGGGGCGCGGGGAGAGGGTAGGTTGCTGGAAGAGAACCAGAACGGGGTAGGTATCCGTGTGCGGGGATAAGGAGGTGCAGACTTGGATCTTTAAAAGAGGGGGACGGAGCCAGAGTCAAAGACAATCAAGAAATGCTGAGAAAATGGAACTCAAGTTCTGGGAGTTTCGAGGGTGAGGCCCTAGGGTGGATCTGCAACCAGGAAGGGGACAAGACGTGGGGCCCCCTAAGGGAACCCACGGAATTCAAAGGCGAGGGGCTGATCGAACTCGGTCCAGGAGCAGCGAGCTGAGCAAGCTTGGGCACTTGGCAGAAATGGGGGGCTGGGGCGGCGGGGAGGATGTGGGCACCAGACAAGGGCAGGGGCACCCAGGGATCGAGGGGACAAAACGGGGTGCCCCTACAAACCCGGCAAAAGCAGGCCGAAGGTTGTAGCTCTAGCCACGGGCTCGTGGGTGGGCGCCTGGGGCCTCGGCTCGGGTCCAGGGAGAGAGGATCGGTGAGCCAGGGGGCGACGCCGGCCATATGGAAGTGATCGTGGATTACCGGGGTCCCGAGCGTAAAGAGCGGAGTTTGGCCGCCGGGATCCAGGGCGGCTGCGCCAAGGTGAGCTCTGCGGGGGGCTTCACCTGGGCAGGCCGGCGGAGGGAGGTCGGGGACGCGAGGTGCACGCACCGTAGGGCTGGCCCTGGAGGTCGTACTGCTGCATGCGGTAGACGGTGAACTCGTGCGCGGCGTCGGCGGCGGGCAGCGGCGGCGCCACGAGCAGCAGCACGGCGGGCAGGAAGACGATGAAGCCGAGCGGCAGGCACGACGCTTTCAGCATGTTCTCCAGTACCTCACCCGCTTCCTCCAGCATCCTGGCCGGTGGCAGGGCCGCGCAAGGCGGCGGCGGCGGCGATAGGACGGCGGCGGCAGATCCCGCGGACTCACCTCAGCATGGGTAGTCGCTAGGGTCCTGCGGGCGCCGCACCGGTCAGCCGGCGCCCGCCCCGGGGACCTGCAGGCAGCGCTACGGACCACCCCGCCTGCCGCGCTGCCTCTTGGGAACTAGAGTCCTCCCGGCACACGCAAAGGCACCTGGGACTTGTAGGCCCACTTTGTTAACCTTCCCTAACTCCGCTGCAAGCCGTGGACTATTTGACTAACGCTGCTAAAGTTTCGCATAAAATCACAGGCTGAAGATAAAAACACTTTAAAATGCTGCTTTCTTAAAGCCTGTCTTTATGGAGAGGAAGCAAGAGGCGGGGCCACAGCGTGACCTTGCGACCTAGAAGGAAGTTGGGCACGAAGGAAGAGAGGGCCATCTTGGTGCGCAGGGTCTTCTGGGAATTGTAGTCCTAGCTGACAAGCCCCAAAGCTCATGGGAGTTGAAGTCTTCCTGAGAGAAGTTTGAGAGGTAATCACCTAAAACTACCAAGGAATGCCGATTGTAAGCTACATGAAGGCAAAGACTTTCTTCGTTTTAGTTATTTGGTGTGTCCCCAGCACCTACCATGAGACATGGAACACCGTGGGTAATCTGTATAATAGTTGAATGAATGAAAAAAAATAAATAAATTATAGAGGCCTCCTGATGGTTGATGGTTATGTACCGTGGAGTCGGTTCCAACTCGTAGTGACCCTGCACAGGGTTTCCGAGGCTGTAAATCTTTACGGGAGCAGAAAACCTCATCTTTCTCCCGCAGAAGAGCTGGTAGTTTCAAACTGCTGACCTTGCGGTTTGCAGCCCGATTCGTAACCAGTATGCTACCATTGCTCCTTAGGCCATAAGTAATGGAAGCGTCTACAGTTAGATGAGAGGCCAAACCAATGGATTATGGGTGTGTAGTCTGGAGTTGTAGTCCTGATGTGAGCTGTAGGATAAACATCATCAGTCAGAACCAGGCCAGGGGCAGACTGTGGAACAGACCATCAATTGCTCGTAAGTAAATTCAAACTAAAGCTGAAGAAAATTAAAGCAAGTCCATGAGAACCAAACTACGACCTTGAATATACCCCACCTGAATTTAGAGATCATCTCAAGAACAGATATGATACTTTAAACACTAAAGATCAAAGACCAGAAGAGTTGTGGGATGACATCAAGAACATCATGCAGGAAGAAAGCAAAAAGTCATTGAGAAGACAAGAAAAAAGGAAAAAATCAAACTGGGTGTCAGAAGAGACACTGAAACTTGCTCTCCAGCGTAGAGATGCTAAAGCAATGAAAGAAATAAGGAGGTACAAGAGCTGAACAGAAAAATTCAAAGGTCAGCTCGAGAAGACAAAGTCAAATATTACAACAAAATGTGCAAAGATCTGGAATCAGAAAACCAAAAAGGAAGAACACGGTCAGCATTTCTCAAGCTGGGGGAACTGAAGCAAAAATTCAAGCCTCGACTTTCATTATTGAAGGATTCTCTGAGAAAATTATTGAAGGATGCAGAAAGCATCAAAAGAAGATGGAAGGAATACAGAGTCACTGTACCAAAAGGAAATGGTTGATGCTCAACCGTTTCAAGAGGTAGCATATGATCCAGAGCCAATGATACTGAAGGAAGACGTCCAAGGTGCATTGAAAGAATTGGCAAAGAACAAGGCTCCAGATATTGATGGAATAAATATTGAAATCTTTCAAGAAAGTGAGGCAGCACTGGAGGCACTCACTCATCTATGCCAGGAAATTTGGAAGACAACTATCTGGCCATCTGATTGGAAGAGATCCATATTTGTGCCCATTCCAAAGAGAGGTGACCCAACAGAATGCGGAAATCATGGGACAATATCTTTGATATCCCATGCGAGTAAAGTTTTACTAAAGGTAATACAGAAACGGTTGCAAGCATACATTGACAGAGAACTTCCAGAGGTTCAGGCTGGATTCAGAAGAGGCCGTGGAATGAGGGATATCATTGCTGATGTCCGATGGATCTTGGCTGAAAGCAGAGAATACCAGAAAGATGTATGCAGATGATACAACCTGTGCTTTATTGACTACACAAAGTTTTTCGATTGTGTGGATCATGACAAGCTATGGACACCATTGCAAACTGTGAATATTCTGGAACATTTAATTGTGCTCATGAGGAATCTGTACCTGGACCAAGAGGCAGTTGTTTGAACAGAACATGGGAACGAACACTGAATGGTTTAAAATTAAGAAAGGTGTGCGACAGAGTGGTATTCTTTCACCATACTTATTCAACCTGTATGCTGAGCAAATAATCCGAAAAGCTGGGTTATATGAAGAAAAATGTGGCATCAGGATTGGATGAAGACTCATTAACAACCTGTGATATGCAGAAGGTACAACCTTGCTTGCTGAAAGTGAAGAGGACTTAAACTACTTACTGATGAAGATCAAAGGCCACAGCCTGTGCTATGGATTACATCTCAAAGTAAAGAAAACAAAAATCCTCACCACTGGACCAATAAACAACATTCTGATCAATGGAGAAAAGATTGAAGTTGCCAAGGACTTCATTCTTCTTGGATCAATTATCAACACTCATGGAAGCAGCAGTCAAGAAATCAAACGATGTATTGCATTAGGCAAATCTGTTGCACAAGACCTTTTTAAAACGTTGAAGAGCAACGATGTCACCTTGAGGACTAGGTGCGCCTGACCCAAGCCATGGTATTTTCAATAAACTCATATGGATGCGAAAGCTGGACAGTTAATAAGAAGACCGTAGAAGAATTGATGCTTTTGAGTTATGGTGTTGGAGGAGAATATTGAAAATGCCATGGGCTGCCGAAAGAACCAACAGATCTGTGTTTGAAAAAGTGCAGCCAGAGTGCTCCTTGGAGGCCAGGATGGCCAAACTTTGTCTCTTATACTTCGGACATAATGTCCAGAGGGACCAGTCCCTGGAGAAGGATATCATGTTTGGTAAGGTGGAGGGTCAGAGAAAACGAGGAAGACCCCCCCACGAGATGGATTGGCAAAGTGGCAGCATCAATGGGCTCAAGCGTGGCAATCATTGTGAGGTTGGTCCAGGATCAGGCAGTGTTTCGTTCTGTTGTGCATGGGGTCGCTATGAGTCCGTACCAACTCGATGGCACCCAACAATATAACAACTAAACTCAAGGGGTCCTGGTGTGGCACTGTCGTTAGAATAGCAAAGTTGGTGCTTCAAGCTCACCAGCTGCTCCTTGAAAACCCCATACAGAGTCCCTGTGGGTCGGAATTGACTTGACGGCACTTAACAACGACAACTTAACTCAAGGCCTGCAGTTCAAGCCCACTAGCCACTCCTTGGAAGAACTATACAGGATCGTTATGAATCGGAACTGACTCCACTCATTTAACAGCAACATCAGTCTGGAATTAGTCCAGAGGCCAAAACAGCTGATTATGGGATTTAAAGTGTCTGATGCCTGAGGGGAGTGCAGAGATTGGTAATTTAGTTAAACTTATTTATAAGGAGCTCTGGTAGCATAGTGGTTACGAATCAGGCTGCTAACCTCAGGGTCAGCAGTTCAAAACTACCAGCTGTTCCGTGGGAGAAAGATGAGGCTTTCTGCTCCCGTAAAGATTTACAGCCTCGGAAACCCTGTCC